CATTGCACTTATAGCAGAGTGGAAAGTCTGCCAAAGTTACAACTTCCTGATAACTTCTGAGCTTTGTGACGATAACGCATGTCACAGACACTTCAATACAATCTATAATCAATGCCACACATTTCCCCTTTTCTGTAACTCCCAGCTTGGCCCACTCGTTTATATACTAACAAACTTGTACATTTCATGAGGGGAAACAGAAGTCGTTCATCTTTATGAGAGTATCACAGTCTGGGATATGTGTTCCTTTTTTAATTAGTCACGTTTACAAAAGGGGAATATAGATGTTTGAGATGTTTGTCAGTCATGCATTCCCAACAGAATGGAAAGTAAGGACCTACATTCTCCAATATTCTCAGTTCTGGGAACTGTCGGGTGTTAGGAACATTCTAGGAACACAAGAGTTGCTCTGAAGCATACCACCTAGGTCATTCCCTAAGCCCACAAGGACCATCTGGGAGATCAGGGTTAACTGCCCTGTGGTTCAGCTTCTCCTCAATCAGCTGTGTCAGCTGTCAGTTAAACTTCATGGCTGCAAGACTCCTGGTCTGCAGAAATCTACTTGAGTTTCTAATAAGCATATTCTCCTTAATTGATAACTGGATTCAAAAAAGATCTGTACTTACAGCCCACCGTTCCTTTCACTGACTAGCCTATTTTACAGCTATCTAGACAGGTATTTTAGAATATAAGAAATTAAAACAGAAATCGGAAAGCTTTTTAGTCCATTTTCCTAATTAATATGTCAGAGCTCGTAAAGAAGAAGTCCCTGGCTTTCTCAGTACTGCATCATCTTAAAGAGCTGGGTCAGCAAAGATCCTGCAGACAGTCAATACATATTAAAGCAGCTCCACGCAGTAAATCAAAACAACAGAAAAAGAAGATGACACAGGAAAAAAAGACAAAATTTATAAGCCCCTTCGTACTGAATACAAGAGGGACACTGAACAGTTGGTTGTGGCTCAGTATATAGGCAGGGAAATGCCAGATATTCTCTATCACTTTTAGGATAGTCAATGATACAGCAAAAATTTTAAATATCAAATGCCAAGCTGATTTCATTTTCTCTGGAATCTAAGTTTCCTTCAGAATACTGAAGTCATCTTGAAATTGGTTATTTAATACCAAGTGGCCAGCAGGAAAAACATATATGTATAGGTGACATATGGACTGAGCAGGTTGTAGTTATGTTTCTAGGAAGATGCATGCACGCACACACACACACACACACACACACACACACACACACATACATTTTCACTCACTTATATAAACAATCAAAGAAAATGGGGCCATGAACTTAAGAGAGCAAGGGGTAGGAAATGGAAGAAGTTAATGGTATGATAATATCTTAAGTTCAAAAAATTAAAAAAATAATAATAATTAGTTTTCTTATGTCTTGCATTTTTAGCGCACAAATTTTGTTCAATTAACAAATTGGGAAGATGTTAAAATATTCTTCAAGGCTCAATAAAACTTGTGTTCTTAAAGGAACTAAACAAAGGGTACTTTATCTCTAACTTCTCTGGGTGGGTCTGGAGACATCCAGACCTCCCTTGCATGGAGAAGACCCCACACACTTGCGATGGCACTGAGTAATGGGCTGGAACACACTCACTCTGAGGGAAAGCTCATGCAATGAGTAGGCTGTTGGGGGACTCTGAAGAATAATGTGTTGATTCTAGAAGGGGTGAAGGGAACCACCATTTTGAGCCAAAAATTATAGAAAGATTTATCTTACCTAAGCTTTTGATATAATCTTAGCCTTCAGGCATCAACCACTTAAAGATTAAGCCAAGGAAAAGGTGCCAAAAATATTGTCAGATGAAACTTGGCATACAATGGCTCTCTACTTACTAAGAAGCTGACGCAGAAGAAAGCTCAGCTCAAATGAATTTATTAAATGTTGAATATCTCCCAAATAAGATGGATGGTAGACTTAAGTCAGCATACACAATTTAATTTATTTAACTTCCTGATAGTCTTGGATAACGTTAAAGCTATCCACATTTCTGGAATTAAAGAGAAAGCTACTCTTGTTAGCCAAAAAGATGCTGATCTATTACTTAAGTATTCCAAAGACAGGATTTGGGGAAGGAAAAATCATATTTCAGGAAAACTTCAAGGGATCACTTGAATATTTCCAGAAGTGTGATCCTGGTCCCTAACAAAGTAAAATATATCCTGGCAATTTGTGGTTACAGAGTACACATGAGAATTTGACATCACAGACTCTATCTATCTATCTATCTATCTATCTATCTATCTATCTATCTTTTATTGATTATCTGCCTAACTAAACATATTTATTTGTTGTAATTTTTTAAATGATTTAACAGAAATTGTCAGAATTAGAAGAACCTTTAATCATTTGTTATTATATCCACCATCTCCATCACTAACATCCCATGAGAAATCCCTCTACATTTGTGGTCCTCAAACTTCCTAATGTTGTGTGACTCTTTAATATAGTTCCTTTAATATAATGACCCCCAATCATAAAATTTTGTTGCTACTTCATAACTATAACTTTGCTATTGCTATGAATTTTAATATAAATATCTGGTATGCAGGATATTTGATATGAGTGTAACCCCAGTGAAAGTGTTGTTTAACCCCCAGAAGGATTGCAACCCACAGCTTGAGACCCGCTACTCTACATGAATGTAGAATAATATGGGAGTTGAGCTCCTGTATGAGAGACGAATGCCTAAATAAAATCATAAATATGATTAATTTTCAAAATACATATGTAAAAAACTGGTAGAGGGTACATTCTTGAAGCATATCCATTTACAAACTTCGGCACACATTTTCCTCTAATGATGCTCTGTCCTATCACAAGGGTCCCTAATGTTGGAGAGGTTGCACTTGTTCATTGTGACACATCAGTGTAATATTACGTTTGCTCTAAAGTTATCAAACTTCTTACTTGCCTTAATCTTTAAGGCATTGATGCCTCAGAGCTCAAACTGGATTCAATTCTGATTAGAGGCACAAGTAAGATAAAGTTTATTTTTTCACATTTACATAGATTCAACGGATGTGCAACAGTCAGCTCTGATGCAGTGATTATGTAGAAGGTCATGAGATATGTGGGCAATGATTATTGGAGTGATTATATATTAGTACAAATCTTTACGTCATTTAGTATATTTTATCATTATGTTTCATATAGTATAAAGGTTGCTGATACAATTTCCAGTAGCTACCTAAGGTAAAGTTGTCATGTGGAATTTTATAGGGCATCTATTTGCCAGCTAATATTTTTATGTCATTTAGTATTTTTTAGAATTATGTTTTATATAGTATAAAGCTTGCTGGTACTATTTCCATCTGCTACCTGAAGTAAAGTTGTCATGCAGAATTTTATAAGAAATCTGTCTGCCAGCTATGAAATTCTGCCAATTTTGATTTCTCAAAATCTGTAAGGTCATTATTTTAAGTTTTGTAGAGTAGTTCTTCGTAAATATTTATATCACATTAGCTAAAAGCAAACATTTAAACTTGACTAAAATATTATAGCAAGAAGCCAAAATGATATTTTCAGTTCAAAAGAGTGACGATCAGTTTTGATAACCAGCAAAGGGTGATTTTTTTTAAAAAAAAAAAAAACTAAGATTAAACTAAGATTGGAATTCTTGGAAATAACCAGAAAGCTTATCATTTGCTCATTTTTACAAATCTAATTTATAAAAATTTTTTATAACCACATAAGCAGAATGTTTTTTTGCTCATAGTGTTTAGGCTCCTTATTGGGAAGAATAAAAGGTGGAACCTAAGAGTTGTGAACCAGCTGTTCCCTGATAAAGTCATTAGAAAATTTAAAGAAGGAGAGCCGGGCGGTGGTGGCGCACGCCTTTAATCCCAGCACTCGGGAGGCAGAGGCAGGTGGATCTCTGTGAGTTTGAGACCAGCCTGGTCTACAAGAACTAGTCCAGGACAGGCTCCAAAACCACAGAGAAACCCTGTCTCGAAAAACCAAAAAAAAAAAAAAAAAAAAAAAAAAAAAAAAAAAAAAAAAATTAAAGAAGGAGAAAAAGAATAAAAATCATAATCTTGCCCTGGAATATGATGGCAAAGTTAATGAGGCACGAATGCCACTTAGGACTGGAAAGGGAACTGGCACAGAAACACAGGAATGGGGAAGAAGTCTTTGTTTCAGCATGGGAGGGGTGCCAAGCATAGCCTCTCTGTAGAGTGGCTCGCCTGAGGCAAATGGGTATTTTTTTTTTTTTTTTTTTTTTTTTTTTTTTTTTTTTTTTTACAAAACGAGATACCCCTAGAGGTAGGAGATACTGCAGGATTTGTTATTCTAGTAACTTTGTGTTTGCAAATGATAGGCTTGGATGGTCCTGAGGAAAGAACAGAGGAGAAGAGAAAGCCAGGAACAAGGACAAAAGAGAAGGGAGGCCACTAGGAAGAGAAAGGAAGTCTAGGGCTTGATACACAGAGGCCCCTCATTGGGATAGAGTAAGACCATTAAGACCCTCAGAGAGAACAGCAAGGGGGCTCATTCAGAAGGAAGGAGAAGGATAATACTGCCATCTCTGTCACAGTCCCTTCCAGTGACAGGCAACATTATGTATGCCAATTTTCTTTTTTTAATTTTTTTTCCTGAGAAATAACCACATCTTCTTTTGATATTCCCTGTTTCCCAATTTTAATGTGAAAGTTATGGAGGAAAATTTTACCAACTTCCTTAGCTTTCCCTTTCAATGTCTGTGTTTCTTGAAAGTGTTCATGTAGTGTATAGGTTTAAGGCTTTTGGTGTAATGATGATGATTTTGGAAACCTTCTTTTCCTTGCACATTTTGAGTCAGCATGCATTATGCTATTATGCACACAGCCAAGCGATAATTCATGTTTGTGGAAGACAGAGACAACTCATGTATTAATTAGCTTTTCACCGACTAGTGCTTAGAAACGGGGTCCAAATGCTACTAAAACACAGGCAGCGATTTCCAGGAAGAGAAAGCCGGTTACAAGGAATTCCTTACCCGGTCTGCGGTCAGCCAGTGACTGAACTTCGCTTTCATCTGGCACTGAGAGAAGAAATAAAAAACAAAGATTAGACCTGCCTGTAAATCAGCATTTTTAAAGCCAAGAATTAATATAGATTCATAATAAATTAAATCTTTTACTGACAAAGACTTGAGGGTTTTTTTCAAGCCTATCCCAGGCTGCCTCAATTTTATCCATAGACATTTATAGTCAACTATGAAGAGCTATGTTTATTAGGCCTTCTGTGAATGTAACACTTATAAAAAGTTTTCGTACTTGCAGTTCTTTTAACTGGGCTCTTTCTTTGATGTCTGTTAGAGAAGAACTAAATTCAAGGGACATGGGATATATAATAGATAATAAAGCTACTTGAGCATTAAAGCTATATATATATATATATATATATATATATATATATATATATATATACACACACACACATACATTCATATTCAAGACTCAAGGCCAGTCTTCTATATCTGCTCAAAATAGAGACAGAAAAAAGGAAAGGTTTTTATGAAGAAAGGACAAAATTGTAATAAAATCTAACAAAGTAGACATTAGGCCACAAAGGATGGACTTACAAAGATTTGGAAAAATACAGTGAGCACCGTGATCACCCTGCCTTCAGTCTCGGCAGCTTCAAATACAGTGAGCACCGTGATCACCCTGCCTTCAGTCTCGGCAGCTTCCTGGAGACGGTTTGGAAAGGGGACATGGAAGAATCTAGTGGTGTCCCTTGCAATACAGGAATGCTGTATGTTATCTGGGGAAGTCGATGCATGTGGCGTTTGGAAAGTGCAAAACCAGCTCACTATTTTTTTCTGATATCTGAGGAAACACCCCCACCATGACCCCACTACCTAGAAAACCAATACTGAACAGAAAGAAAAGAGCATTTAAAGTTCACACAGAGATGAAAACTATGCCCACTCCCAACAATCGCGGTGGCAAGCGTCATAGTGCAGGGGTGCACTTAGAAATGACAACAGGCCATACCACAACAGTGTGGAAGAATTAGGTCAAGAGTTATACAGCCCTTAAGCAATGGGAGAAAAAAAAAACCTTCTGAAAGTTTAAAGACTTAGATGAAAAAACCCATATGTATGGCCTATTGGTTAAATTTTAAAATGAGTTTATAAGTAAAATTTTCCTTCAAAGACTACTCTAGGACTGGATGACATCACAGGTGAATTTTACCAAATATTGAAATAAATAATATGGATTCTACAAAAGCCCCACTGGAAAACACAGAGAAAAGATCTCCACTGTGTCACATAGGGCTACTGTAAAATAGATATAATATCAGGAAAAGGCAGTATGTGAAAACCACTATCAATAATCCCTGGATGCAGGCATGGGGTTTCTAAACAACGCTCTGTGGATAAGCACATTAGCACCCAGCCGCTGTAGTACCTTCTCTCTCCATTTACTAAAGTTCTTGCCAGTCTATAAACCTCTGGTACTCAAGGATAGAGAAAACGGTGAGGAGAACGTGGCAACGAGGAAGACTGCCTCCATCTTCCCTAACGAGCCTGTCTCTTCCCTCTGCTCACGTCGTTCATCTGTAACTGACCTAGTCATCACACATGGTCAGACACTCCCCTGCCACCCTTTCTTGGCTATTTCTTTATGTTGAAATTAAAAGCACTGCTTGCCTGTGGTTATCCTGGTCTAACTGCCTAAGTATCTTGTTAGAATTTTTTTTTTCTTTGCATTTCCATTCGGGTGGTGAGTCAAGCACTCATGGCCAAGCTCTTTCCTTGTTGTGCCTAAAAACACGTACAGGGGAATCCTGTAGAAAATTACCACAAATCAACTACACAGACAACTACAAACAACAGTAGCTGGTACTGCAGAGTCCTGTAACACACAGGTTCTACCCTACATATTTTACATCTGTTTAATTATTTTAATCTTTGTAACACCTTGAGAACATGCACTACATCCTCATGTCTCTGTGGCCTGCATTTCATCGGTTGAAGGAGCAGAGATTAAAGGACAGTCTTAGCTGCCCCTTTGTTTCTGTGACAATCACAGAAGATGTGCTAGCCGAGGAATTTTAAGAAGAAACAACAACACAAATTAAATACAGGAAAGCATTTAAACAATCATATACTGAAAATTGGTATTCTTTTTATCTGAATTGATGATATTAGATGGAAATCTGGACCAGGTATGAACAGGGTGCATGCTATAGTTTTAGAACTTTAGAGATGGAGGCAGGGTTACGTGGGTAAGCTTAAGGCTATCTTGAGCTAAATGGCAAGATTCTGTCAAAAAAAAAAATTTCCTGCAGACTAGTAAAGTAATGTTCCCTCAATATTGATCAGCATGTTTGGAAATTTAAAGTTCAAATAAACTATTTCTTCTCTCTTAATATATGAATAGTCACCCTGAGAGTTAGGAGCCTGGCCTGGAAGCTTGACAAATTTTGTTCCACTCTGAGCAGTTTTAGATTTATTTCGATAAGAGTCTTAGAAGTCACGTTAGCTTTGCTCACTTCAGTTTCACCACGATGAAATGAACGATATGTTGGCACCCCACAGATTTTTGGTAAAGATGACAGAGGTAAGTACACGCTAAGAGCCTAGAAGATCACATGGTCAACACATACAGTCCCTGATACGCTAAGCAGAATGGCAGAACAACAACTAGTGGTAACTGAACAGCCAGATGGAGCTCAGCGGCCGGTGAGGGCAGGAAGATTGCTACACTCTTTTTAACTCTATTTTTTTTTCCATACAAGAATGGGGATACAAGCAACACGCAGGAAATTATGGGAGATAAAGTAAAAAAAAAATGAAAAATTACTCAGCACAGATCCAGGTAAACGTTCTCATTACTTAAAACTTTTTATAAGTGGAAGCAGAGAGCATGGTGAAGGATGAGTTTGGTCATGATGGTGCTGACGATTACACTTTGTCAAGATCATAAAGAAATACAGAAAGACTAAGCAAGAACACATCACACCTTAGCAGGGCATTGGGTGCTCGCTTGTGCTATAGGAAAGACAAGCAGATACTTTGTACATCCTCCTCAGTGTATCTGACTGTAACTCTTGTTTGGGAGGATGTGCACAGAAAACACAGCTGAATAAAGGGTCTCGCCACACACGGCTATTCTAAAAATGGGGTTTCTAGGAAGGTAAAGCTTCTGCTGTTGCTTTGCTTCTATCTATCTTTGTGGTTTCCTTCCTTCCTTCCTTCCTTCCTTCCTTCCTTCCTTCCTTCCTTTCTGTCTGTCTTTCATTCATCTAAGTATTGCAAACTTCCTAGTAACATTAAGTTTTACAAGGAACTTCTTAACTTTTTGGCTGAATAATGCCTATTATCCCTAGGAGAAATACTTATTATTATTTTAATAATTGACAAGTTGAAATTCTTTAGAACACTAAAATAAACTATTTTTTTTTTACAGTGTGGAAAATCCAAATGGGTGATAGGCATCAAAATTAGGGTCTTTCTCCAGAATATTCTCTGACATAGATGCCTATCTTTAGGACCAATGACAAATGAACAAACATAATGGAAAAGAGAGGGAGCAGTAATGACTTAATTAATAGAACACATTTTATTTAAAAGGTTAAATTTGGAACAATCATCTTTTATGCACATGCTTAGTGCTGGGAAGCAATTTAAATAACAGTGGCAAATGAGAAAATGAGGTAAAATTACACACACCACCAATTTTTTTAAATGGCAAGTATTATAATTAATACCCAACTTCCTTTATAACCCACATCACCTTAGAGCGACTATTAGTTCTCTTGGGGTTGGTGCTTAAATGCAGTTGTTTCTTTGCATTCTATTGAGAGAGTGCAGATAGATATTGAAGTGGTAGGAACATGGCTCATGACAGGTCTGTCCTTTTAAATGTAAGGCTTGTATGAGAAACTGAGACCTGCGTGTGGGAGTGTGCCTATGGTGAGGATGATCTCTTATTCTGAGAGAGCACAAGGCGCAAGGCATCATGGAAAAGCACGGGTGGAGGAAGAGCCTTGAGGTTTTACATTCTGCTTCTGAACAAAGATTGTTTTACTTTTCCATCTTTATAAAGTCTCTGGAGTTTATCACATTCTCTCATAACCTTCAATTTTACACCAGGACTGTGACTATTTGCTCTTGGGTATATTAAAGGAATAGTTTGGCAACTGAAGAGATATGAATAAAATGTCGAGTTCTCCTGAAGATGTAGTTCCTACGCACTCTTGTTACAATCACTTCCTTCACCACCGGCATTATTGAAAGCCCAGACATAGTGTGAAGCTGCCCCTTCTGTAGGCTCTCTGGCTTATTTAGCTAATGGGGTTTCTATACTAATCTCCTGTTTCCTGACATTCAGCACATGATCGGTGGACACTATTTGGCTTGACTGTCACAGGTTCTTACTAAAGAGGCCACTGCTCTAGATGTTTGTTAATTTCCTCCTGTGTCCTCTGACTCGCAGGGAGGACTTGCATGGAGAACTGAGCAGCCATCATTGCCCATGTTTCTAATTCTTAAGTCTTTGAAGCTGAGGAGAGCTGCCCAACCGCCAAGAGCACTTAAAAAAAAAGTAATAACAGACTGTATTTTTCTTTTCACTTAATTTCAACCAGGTTCATTGTTAGAAACCAGAGACAGAAAATGTGGAGGGTAAAGGTCTATGATCAAGATGGCACTCTGCAAACTTGTTAGCAGCAGACATTAAAGTGCACATAATACACTCACATGTGGGTTCCCAGTAGGATGCATTTTTATTAATATAGTGCTTGCTTAAAGTGTTTTATTCTTTTGTCAAGCCTTCTTACACGCTTCAAATGCCTTCTCACTAGGGGAAAACAATCCCCTGGCTTACTGATAGCATTTGACACGCATTCTATAACATAAGCGACTATTAGGGACTTCACTTGCTTAATAAAACTTTGTAGAGCAGTGGCAGATTTGGTGAGTTAATGGGCCCATATGCTTTTCTTATGCCGACAGGATATGGTATATTGTTAACATGCACAAATCTCTTCACATAAAAATTGCCATCAGCTACACTTATTCTTTTTGAG